TCTTAGTAAACACTGAATTATTTCTAAGCAGCCAAATCCTACTTAAGCAAACAAACAGTATGGTCTGGAGTAAGATTAATACGTGTTGACATTCATACAAATGAATAATCCAGTAAACATAAACAGTTTGTTATATAGAAGGATATTTTAAAGAAAAATCAAAATCGGCATTATTTTTCGGACAATGCACAGGCGTATCTACAGAGGGGGAGGGTTTGGCCTCTCCCTCCCCCCCAAATGGTAAAATATAACCATGTTTTATCGGAAAAATATTAAAAAAGTATCTCTTAAAGTATTATTGTTCGTGTAATTACATTTAAAAGGACTTTAGGAATTACTTAAACACCATTTCATTCAGGTAGTTAGTTTCTTTCTTTTTTTCCAAAATAATTATCGTTATTTTTATGAATAAAACAACTTTCGGCTGAAGCTCCCCCCCAAAATTAAATCCTGGATCAGCTAGTGGGACAATGCAATATATATATAATCATATAATCAACGCTTAATCGTTCTTCTGAAACGTTTAGTTTGTAGTTGCACAAATTTTTCATCTCATGGTGTTTTATTTTTAATAGAGTTGTTACGATATTTGAATATTAATATGAATGAAAAAAAAAAATTGCGTCATAAAAACGGCGTGATCATTCTCGAAACCTTGTTCCATATGCATCTTTATGATCCCTAAGGATCATAAAATGCATAAAATCTTAAATTAACATGTGCAGTTAGTTGCCCGACACACGTCAACCGATCGTTTTGCATAATCAATGAACGCGAGCATGTTTTTTTTTTTTGTCCGGAGGGGAGAGGGGGGTCTTTTTTGGTCGTAACTACACGCGTAACTTTTTTGCCTTTCTCCCGTTGAGATGACTATACCCCCTTTAAGATGAGGCTATAAAATCTATTTGACAGCGAGCTGCCTGCCCTTATGTATTATGTATGGGAGGTGTTTATTATTCGAAACAAATTTGCCATGCAAGAGTATCCCGTTACTTTATGACTATCTCATTTCCTTGCCGGTAATTAAACCAATCCGAACCAATAACTTAGACAATTACTTGATACAATTTATTAATTAATTTATAATAATTAATAACATAGAATTTACTGATTATATACACACATTTAGTCCGTCCATCCCTTCTGATCAAATTATTAACATCCATCTACAACTTCTTAAATAGCCTTCACCTCAATCCTCAGAGATGTATTTTTTTTTCACTAAATTAATTAATTGAGTTAATAAATTACAGTTGAATCAAAAGGTAATTCAGCTACAAAATCGCGAATAAAAGTTGGTCCGTTTGGGCTATATAACCTAGTTATTTTAACATGTTGCGGGTGGAGGTCAAAGCAAACGTACTAATGTTTTTGGAGGCCACTTTTTTGTCGATTTTCTGATATTATCTTACGGCTTCAGTGGAAAGCAAATTGTTGTTCATGAGTTTACAGTATCGTACAAGCTTCAAACACTTTCACGACAAACAAGCATTTTTGTTTTATTAATACTTTTTAAATAATTTTATACTTATTGAAAAATAATGTATTTTTAAGATTTTGTTAGCTTGGATAGTATACAATATTTTTTTATTATTTTATATTGCTAATTACAATATGGATTTTTTTAAATCAATTTTTAAAATTACCATGAATGTGGTATAGATTGTTAAATACATTTTTAAAGGAAACTTAATATAACAGATCTCAAAATTCGTAAGAAGGTTTTTATTTTCTATGATGAATAAAATAATTATAACTATCCTAGTTAAATGAGTATTTTAGTTTTTTAGAAATTTAAAATAGAATATAAAAACGATTTAAGTTTTTTTTCCTGTTGATTGATAGACCCGTCTAAAAGTATTAAATAACAAACTTTTTTTAAAAAAAATATTTGACAGACATTTAATACAAATCTACTAAAAATATACAGTTCATCTGATTTCCAAACACAAATAAATATTTAAAAAAATATTCCTGAAATTATGAGAATCAGTTTAGTATTTTAATTTATTATTTTCATGTAAGTAAATGTTTCTTAAACATTTTAATAACTGAAAAATTATATTTTTCTTGTAATTGGTTGCCTCTAGTCCTATTTAAAAACTTCCCAATTACTTATTTATTATTTAAAATCTTTTCAATTCCTGATTATTTGTCTTAAATAAACAAGTTTAACCAAAATAGTTCCTTATCGAACGAAAATGTTATGACCGAATCTGACTAGTATAATTAAATAATATTTTTGGGGAAGAAATTGTTTATTTAATCATAATTTTTTTATTTCCTTTCTACTCAATATATTATGGCACCATTTCATAACAATTAACATATCTTATTTATTTTATGTACTACTTTTTTCTTTGGTTTATCTATATTACTTAATATTGCATTTCATTGTCAATTACTTTGTTTATTTCATTAGTTTATTACTGTTACTTTATTCATGATCATATAATATATATTTTGTTCTCATATATATACTTTTTTTTAAGGTTGTTTAATAGTTTTTGGATAGTTATACACATGGTAGTAACATTGACTTAAAAAAAATCAGAGCTTTAGGGGGAAATTAAATTCAAGTATTTGCCATCGTTAGGACATTACAGCACTGCAAATTGTTACTGATAAAAAATGATACCACATGATATAGCATGAGGTGAATTTGACATTTGTATTATAAATTATGACGAATTAAAATTAATTTTCATAGAAGATAATTATAGAGTTGTGAGAAAAAATGAGGCAATAATCAGGGGTAATTAAATTAATTATGGAAATTTCATTCAAACTCTTTTAATAAAACGTACTGGTATATTACACATAACAAAAGTGGTTACCACAAAAAATACTTATTTAATTCTATTGAATGTTGTGTTAAAGATTTTAGAACAGAACACTCGAATTTCAATTCGTTACTGATAAAAATAAAACCATAAAATTGGCATTTCAACCGGTATGAAATTTTAAAATTGATTTTCGTGAGTGAAAAATAATTGAGTTGTCAGGCAGATAAGATGGAACATTTTAGCTACTATTGAACTTCATAAAACATCAGAGATTATTTAGGAAAAACAACAGCTGTATTCATAAATATAAAATATGAACATATTTGATATGATGTATATAAAATACAGATTATTTAAAATATTAAAAATCAGAGGCTTATTGATATTTTATTCTAGCACTTGTCATGAAATGAATTAGTGTTTTTCTTTAAATAAATATTATTATCATAAAGATATTATTATATCTCATTCTATTGTATTTGAACAATTTGCCAAGGCACTAGTATCTTAACTATTAAAAATAGAACTATAAAATTGACATTTACTGGGTTAGAGAACTCTAGTTGAAATAATTCAACTGGTACTTTGTGACACTAAAATAGATTTTTTAAAGTGAAAAATTATCGAGCTGTATGGCAGATAGAAGAGAATAATATCTGATGTTCAATATTGACAGAACACATCAATAAAAAATCATATATCATAAAAATCGTGTCAAGAGTATCCCACGATCATTAAAAACCAGAGGCTTATGGAAATTTTATCCACTTGTCATGTATAATAAAAAAATTGCAGTGTATAATAAATGTGGTTATTATATTAGCTATTGTTCAATAGATATTATAATAAAATCCTTGTGTTGCAGGTCGTTACTGATAAAAAAATAAAGACAGAATCAGCATGAGATGAACTGGAGATTTTCACTGATACTTAGTGACATTATAAAATTGATTTTCGTAAAAGAAAAAGTATCGAGTTGTGTGACAGATGAGAGAGAATAATATCTTGATACTTAGACAGAATACTTAGTAAGTATTTCTGAGGTTACTTTGAAAAACAAAAACATATAGTATATTTAAAATATAAAGATATTTGATAGCATGTATTATAATAGTAACATTGTCATAAAAAAAAAATTAAAAGTTTGTGTAGATTTAGTTCAAGCACTTGTCATGAAATTGTTATTTTTCTTCAAATAAAAGTGGTCTTCACAAAAAAATAACTTATTTTGAAAAGACTATTATAAAATAGACTATAAAAGTCGCTCTTGATAAAAATAAAATCGTAAAACAGATACAAAGTAAACTTGGAGATTCATACTTTAAACATTTCAACCGGTATTTTTTGACTAAAATTAATATTTGTTAGCAAAAATATATCGTGTTGTGAGCCAGATATGAAAGAACAATGTCTTACCAGATATTGAGCATTGACAGAATAAAAAAAAATCTTACAGTATAAAATATATAGATATTTGATGGTGCGTAGTGCAATGCCATACAAAATTAAAGGTTTATGGAGGATTAATTCAAGCACTTGTCAAAAATAGATCAGTTTCTTTCCATTTTTCTTTAAATAAAACTGGTTAAAAAAAAATGTTGATAAGTCTATGATACAATAGAAATGATAACAAAACACCACTTGTATTGTGAGTCACTACTGATAAAAATTATAAAACTGACACGAAGTGAACTGGACAGTTTTTACTTTAAATATTTAAACCTGTATTTTTTGAATAAAATTAATATATATTAGAGAAAAATTATCGTGTTGTGAGGCACATACTAAAGAATCATATCTTAGCAAGTATTAAATATTGACATATTTAGTAAATATTTCAGAGATTACTTTTTAAAAAAATTTACAAAATCATATATAAAAGATATATGACAGCGTGAATTGCAATAGTAACATTGTCATAAAAAATCAAAGGTTTAACGTTTTAAAGTTTTTAATCACTGGTTTAACTCAAACACTTGTCCAGAAATGAATTGGTACTTTTCTTTAAATAAAAATTATTTTAGAGTGGCATTGTATGGCTATGACATATGAGACTACTTTAATAACTTACCTTAAAGTTTATGTTAATATTGATAAAATATAAATGTGGTTATTGTATCTTGACATTTAGGAGAGCATGCTTATGTATTATATAAATATAGTATTAAGATACAGATATATATAAGTAGTATATGTTATATAATGTGTGACTACCTGTTGTTGTGACTACGTAGAGACAGAGCGGACTCTCTCGAGAGATTTGTGTGTATAATTAGAGATGATCGGTGAAGAGAGGTAGAGAGGTAGAGATGTGGTGGGGGTAGGGAGTTAGCGATGCGGGAGCTGAGCTGAGACTGCCTCTCTCTCCCCTGGGTAGCGGGTAATTGCGGAGGCCCAATTATCTCCCTGTGGGAACTGCACGGTAGCTGTCTTAGGCCACGCCCACTTCCACCTCATTGGCCACTCGCCGGCCAATCAGGAGCGCCGACGCCCTTTCCCACGCCCCCTCTACCCTCCTCCTCCTCCCCCTCGACGAGCTAATATCGTAATTAGTCTCCCTTCCCCGCCCCGGGGGGGTGTGCCTCCGGCAGCGCGCTTTCGGCAGGCCCCCTTCTATAAAATACTGCCCACCGCAATCCTAATAACTTGAGGGCCAGTTCCCGACAGCCGTCTACCATATACCAACCACCGCCTTCCACTTCTATTCCTTACCGTTCTTCGGCTTTTTTTTTTTTTTTGTAATAGAGCTTCCAATTCCTACCTTAAAACTACGGGTGCTCCTAGCTTAGGGTTGCCAGGTTTTTAAAGTTCTAGAGGATGACAATAATAGGAGGAGTAGCGTTGCCCAAATGTGGGACCGAGAAGAGTCATGGTCTAGGGCACTAGCGGATCCAGGATTTAATTTTGGGGGGGGAGAGCTTCAGCCCGAAAGATTTTTTTTTCATATACATATAACAATAATTAATTAGAAAAAAAAAGAAAGAAATTAACTACATATATGAAATGGTGTTTAAATGGTTATTGAAATTCTATTAAATGTAATTATACGAACAAGAACACTTTAAGAGACAGTTTTTAATAATTTTTTTCTGTAAAACATGTTTATATTTTATCATTTGAGGGGAGGGCTTCAGCCCGAAAGCCCCCCCTGTAGATCTATGGTAATCGCCTGTGGTCTAGGGTAATCGCACCAGTGATGGACAGAGCTAAGAAAATTTTTGTCTTTTTTTGCTTATGCCGCTGTAATTATTATAGTTATAAACTTCTCCGTTCGACATTTAGAATCTCTAGGGTCTCCTTTTTCTATTTCTTTTTTTTTATTTATTTATTTAGACATATAATATTCTGTCTCGAGGACAATAATTATAGAGATAAATGAACACATTAACACCATATATACAAAAAAATATAAAATTAAAATAATAACTAAATAATAATAAATAAAAACTATGTACAATACAAAAAAATAAAGTAACCTAAGTAAATTAAAAACATAAGAACACAGTCATGCCTATATACAATATATACAATCAGGCAGAGAACCCAAATCCTTGCGCTACTGTCTCAACCACCTCACTGGTGCTAAAGCCAGATTTTGCATATAACCCAAATTTACAACTATTATAAATAAATACAACAATTAAATTGGATATAAAACATGATATGAGCTAGTGAAGAAGTTACCCATTGATAAAACTGTAATGGTTAGTTTAATTTAGAAGGTCTCTCTGCCATCTTCTTTTCAGACTCCTTGGAGGGTAGTCAGGAATTGTTTTGAATGAAAGGTTATGAACCACGGGGTTAGGATGTCCAAAGAGCTTGGAATTACAAGAAGAATGTCTGATTCCAGCATACGAGTGGAAGGATCAGGTAGGTTCTACCACACTTCACTCTAGGAAGGCCAAGGCTACCGCCACAAGAAGAGGAGGCAAAGAATGGCTAGGAGGACTGGACGTATGCAAGACAGAGATCTCAGGCTAATATCAGATGATGAGGTGGACAGCCTTGCACTGGGCCGCAACACAGTTAAGAAATCCAATATATGTATTGTTACCTAAATCAAACAATCCCTATTAAATTGTAAAATAATACAGTCAAAATAAAGAGCAGTTTTTCGGCAGTTGTGGACAGGGGTGTCCATCCCCCCAAGGTCGACGGCGCAAGAATCTACCCCATCTTCCCTTCCTTCCACTCCAAAGATATTTTATTGCTGATATTTTCTTAAAAACAGAGCAAGCGAAGGTAGAATTAGAATAATCGTTGATCATACACAGTTACATTTGCTGCAGTCTGGTTCATGTTTTCTACTTGTCCCTTAGTATGAAACTTTCTATTCCGGAAATTTATTGTCAAAATATAACTGTATATATAAATATAACTGTATATATAAATGTAACACTGTCAAAATATGCCCTTCCCAAAAATTTTGATGGCACAACTTGCGCCATGAAAACCATTTATGGGCACCCCTGGTAGTTGACATGTGTGAATACCAAGAATCAACCCACTACTGCCAAACCCCGTATGGCAACAATACCGGGTAGCCAAGGTTGCAACAAAGATAATGTGTTGAGGTCTTTATGGATTATTTTTTTCGTGACATAGAAGCTTTAAGGATTCTACGAAGGATTTTAGGTTGTAAAGATTAGGCACGGTGAGAATTCGATGATTTTGTGGAGTCCCGAATCTCCATTCCTTATGTCCAAATGAACGCGATAATGGTAGTGTATATGTTTTGTTTTTTTGTAGAATAACGAAAGTTGAGGCGTTTGTCAAGCAAGCGCTGTAATATTCGGAGCAGTTTCTTGCCATCTCAGATTATAAATAGGATTGTAAGTAAGACGTTCATCAAGGAGTCCTAGGTAAAGGATCTGTTTAGCAAGATTAAGAGGTATTCAGTAAAAAGATACTGTAGGTCAGGTTATAGCAGGTTTACGAGGAAGGGTAAATGTCATTTGATGATATTTGTTTGGATGTATTTTGATTTTCTACTTATTTTACCATTTTACCACGGCTGAAATCATACTAGTATAAAAAAAAGTCTGCCAAGGAAGGTCAGTATAGCTTCCTCACCATTTTATGGGCTAAAAAAACTATATCACAAAGTCTAAAAATTTTCGTATGAGAATAAAATCTATGTTCAGTAATCTCTAAACATATACGGATTTGATATCCACAAAATTGTGTCCGAGTTCCGCATTCGTATTTTCTATCTTCCATTTTCCATCGTAGCAGACTGCTTATATCAGTTGCAGACTACAAAATGTCACCTTTAACACAAATAGAAAAAAAGTTGAAAAGTTTTACATACGACCTTTTGCACTAACAGAAGTGATATATACTTTATATATAGTAGTGATATATAGTAGGTATGTTTTCATTCGTAAAATGGATGGAAAAAATTAACTTTTTGTTTGTTCGGAGTTAACGAGACCAGGAGTGCCCAGAAGCGGATTTTATGCGCTCAGTTACGCCATCAGTACTAGATGAGGGAGGCACTTTTTGACGAGGTTTTCAATATTTTAGGGCGGAAAATTTCGACGAGGTTATGAATATTCAAATGAAATGTTTCAAGGCAAAAGACAAGTGGAATCATGGAATAGACTACAGGATTTGTAATGGTATACGAATCTACGAATATTCATATTCTACTATCGTTTGCACTTTTTTTAAGAAAAAGAGAGAAATAAAATATCTTGGGAGGGGTGGGAGAATGTTTATACCCCATCAGCCTTGGGGGAGATGGGCACCCCTGTACGAGACCAATAATTTTCTTCAGTCAGAACAAAACTAATTAAGCTGGAATGTAAAAATACGAGTGAACTTCACACATCTTTGATACTTAAGGAGGAAATCGATAGCACGACGAGCTGGTTGAACTTCAATAGAAATAAACACAATCACAAATAAGACTTAAAAAAAAAAACTCACGAGTACAAATTGATTTAAATTTACTGAAAATTACACGAAAACTAAGTAACGGCAATAATTGTCAAACCAGTAACGTTTGGAATCGACCAAACAATACAGCATAACTTAACTTTTTGAATAAACCTGAAATTGTATAAGTCCATAAAAATATTGTTTCGAGTTAACTCCCACTCCAAGTGATCAAGGCCTTGTTGTAATGTTGTTAACAATTATTTACATTAATTTTTATTATTAAATGGAATTCAATGAAATTGATTCTAGACAATTTCTATCTATACTATTCTCCCAATTTCATTTAAGTTTGGGTCAAATCGAAAGCACAGTTTTCAAACTATAGGCGTGCCAAATAATATATTTCCTGATCTGAAAGCGGGAGTATGTTTATTTGGAGTTGTGGGCAGAATTCGATATAATTCATCCATACTTCGTTATTTGTTTACCAATCCATAATATACTTCCAAGTTTGAGCCAAATCGAGCATATTTTAGAGAAATTAAAGTATCGAGGAAAACACGTTTTTGCACATATATAAGAGAAATTAGTCACTACATTATTGTTCCACCTACCTTTTTTTCCAAATTTGAGAGAAATCGAACGAATTGTTTCTGAAATATTTGCATATCTGAAAAAAATACATGCGCAAGTGAAAGTGATAAGATTCATAAGTGACTATCTAGGCCATAAGGACCATAATCCCTGATAATTGCATGAAATTCGGATTAACGGTAGTAGGTGACATGGTTGTTACGTCGATTTGACTACAGACAGACAGACACCAAACCAAATTTGATCCTTAATGTCTGAAACGTAAAACGCTAGTAAAAATTTTCGATCCTAAGCAAAAATTTAGTTTTAACCTCTCGTAAGAATACAATGCTTCCCTTCCTTTGGTAGTGAGGAGGCAATTATTAAAAACCCTAAGAAACATACAAATATTTAAACGAATTAATTATAAATATTCAATATTATATTTGTTCGTTTAACAATAATTATTTTGAATTTTTATACATAATTAAAACTCCAACCATAGTTTGTTTTGGTCCATAGCTTCCCTCCCCTCAGTTAAAATCGAAAGTCTGCGTCTATGCCCACCTAATAACAATCCCTCTTACATTAATTTCATTTAAACACTATTTATTTTTCCATTCTATTTTTTCCAATCTATTTAGTATTCCAGAAATCAACCTTTCTAAATACTCGTAAAAATTAAACTTTTCTAATTTAGCGCTGTAAGCCTCATTTTATTGTTATTTCACAGGTATCTATATATTATCTGTAACACTATTCAGTGTCAATATATAAACATACCTATATTAATTTATCTGTAATCTACATTTGTTATCTTGGGCGCAATCGTTGATTTTTATTTTAAAGTTACAAAACTCAGTAGTTTAATTATTTCTTGATTTCCTTTAAATACCAGACAAATGTACCTTCTTTTGTTCATTATTATTATTCTTAGTGGACGAAATT